CTGTCACCCATGCTGGAGTGCAGTGGTGCAATCTTGGCTTACTGCAACCTCCACCTCAGTCTGCCAAGTAGCTGGGATTACAGGCACCTGCCATCACGCTGGGGTAAGTTTTCTTTTTTTTTTTTTGCATTTTTAGTAGAGATAGGGTTTCACCATGCTGGCCAGGCTAGTCTTGAACTCCTGACTTCCAGTGATCCGCCTGCCTCAGTCTCCCAACGTGCTGGAACTACAGGTATAAGCTACTGCACTCAGCCCCAATTTGTAGTCTTTTATCCCTCACCCCGCTTCTACCCTTTCCCCCAATCCCCAAAATCCACTGTATCATTTTTATGCCTTCACATCCTCATATCTTAGCTCCCACTTATGAGTGGGAACATATTATCTTTGGTTTTCTATTCCTGAGTTAGAATTTCTTCACTTAGAATAACAGTCTCCAATTCCATCCAGGTTGCTGCAAATGTCATTAAATCATACCTTTTTATGGCTGAGTAGTATTCCATTGTATCTATATACCACAGTTTCTTTATCTACTTGTTGATTGAAGGCATTTGGGCTGGTTCCATATTTTTGCAATTGCAAATTGTGCTGCTGTAAACATGCATGTGCAAGTATCTTTTTTCTGTAATGACTTCTTTTCCTCTGGGTAGATACCCAGTAGTGGGATTGCTAGATCAAATGTTAGTTCTACTTTTAGTTCTTTAAGGAATCTCCACACGGTTTTCCTTAGTGGTTGTACTGGTTTACATTCCCACCAGAAGTGTAGAAGTGTTCCCTTCAAAACCACAATGCAATACCACCTTATTCCTGCAAGAATGGGCTTATCCATAATACTCTGAAGCTAGGCCACAGGATCTTATAAGTCTGCCAACCAGCCCTGGGAGCCCATGGAGATCTAAACATTTAGAAGAGGGAAAACCAATAGGGCATTTTCAATTCTTCCTTTCTTGTAGACTGTAAACACTAGCAAAATGAATTGAATCTGTACAGTTACTATACACTGCCAAATATGATTTATTTTGGACAGGTGACTATTTCCAGAAGTACAATTCTCAGCTAACCATATGCTGCTATGTTCATTCAATTTAAAATCCTTGAGCCATTCTGGGTTTTGAAGTCCCTCATCCTGCCCTGCCACACCCTCGTAGCAGGAAAGAGGCTTTCCCAAAGAGGAAGGGATTTTGCTTCAAGAATTATTATCTGCTTAGTTACACATACATTCATCACATTCTGGGTCTGATCAGTGGATAGAGTTCTCAGGGGGCCAACACTGGTTGGGAAAAGTGGAAGGAAGAGACGTATTTTAGGCACACAATGATAGCTTTGCTACAAAATGCACTGCATGGGCACAACACACCGAGCTCTGGCAAGTATGGCCCACGTTAAAGACAAAATACTCCACTAACTTGACATTGTCTTTCTTGGACCACCTCAAATTTGGGGAACCTCTAGGTATATGACTGTATATGTTCCTAGGTGCTCCTAAACGTGCTAGGGGAAGAGAAAAACATAACGGCAATGAGTTGACTTGCAAGACCTACTTGTAAGCTGAAATAAAGTTTTAGACATAATCCAGAGGTAAAATTTACTATAAAAACATATTCAGATGAATCACTGGTGATTTCCCAGAACTGAGAACTTCTCTTTTCAATATGAGGGGGATTCTGAGTTTTCCAGACCTCACTTTTTTCAGGTCTGAGATAAGCCTGTGGCATATACAATTGCCGAAGGTAACTTGGGGCAGGGAAAGGAAGGCCAGTTGCTTTAGTAAAGAGCCTGTGTCTTCCTCTAACCACAGTTTGGGCAGCGGACAATTCTCCTTTTTCTTTCAGAGCTAGTAAAATGTTCCAGTTAGGTTGTGACAGGCACCGGAATCAACAAGATGTCATTTACCAAGATAAGCTGGAGGTCAACATCTCCTTAAGAAAGGGCTCCAGGAGCTATTGAATAAATGTAAAATAACACAAGCACAATATTTGAGTCCTTCAATATCTCTCATAAACTTTAATAATGTGATAATATTCAAACACATGGTAGTATTTTAATGGTAACTACAGAAGGGCCCCCTGGAAAATCTGGCAAATGCTGTCAGAACTGGCCCTTCAGAGATGTCCTTCCATCTAGTCCATCTTTGCCCTTTTGATTAGATTTTTAGTCCACTTGATCCTTCTTGAAGGAAATAAGGAGCATGTTGGAATAGCAATTTTCAATATCCAGATTCCAGACACATCACCCTGTTATAGATGGAACTTTAAGGCATTTCTGGAATCTCCACGTTAATTACCACATTGTCGAGTACTGGAAGGACTATTGTATAAGGATTCTGAGTAACTTGATTCCCCTAATGAACCTGAGCCACCCAGACGATGGAATGAACAGCCTGTAGCCAGCCTGGGCTGCTGCCTCTCACCCCCACAGTCTCTGAGCTTTGGCCACTCCTGGGTTTGGCACATAGCCTGTCCTTTCCCATTGTCAGCCTCCTTTTCAGCGCTGTTTGGCATCCTCTTCAACATGAACTGCCTAGACACTCGTCGTGCCCGTTTGCTTGATCCATCCACTGCCACCTGTGCTGCTGTGTCTGCTCATACACCACCTCCGCTGCCTTCTAATCTGTTGGTGCTGCTTTGTTTTACCTGGGTTAGCAACTGGGGAGCTAAGATCCCCAACTCCAGCTATTTTCTAGGCTCAGCCATGCTCACCTAGACTTTGATGCACCCACCAGAGATGAAGCCAGGTGGAATTCCCTTGCCCATTTTTGTCAGGTGAACATGGACTTTTGCTTTTGAGAATCTTCAGCCTTCCCACCCCACCCATTTGACTCTAACACTTTAAAGTCAGTGCTTCTAAACTTTAACATACATCTGCATCACCTAAGAATTTTGTTAAAATTAGGATTCTGACTCTGTAGGTCTGGCGTGGGGCTTCAAATTCTGCATTTCTAACACATTCCCAGGTGAGAGCCGTTCTGCTGGTCCATGGATTGCATTTGAGTAGCAAGGCTCTAGGAAAAGGGCTTTATCCTATTTATCTTTGCAGGCCTGAAATTTCCACAGCAATTTCACTGCCAGCACTTGGGAAGCCCCTTCTATGTATGAAGTAGTGAAAACAGAAGGATGGCTATGACACAGTTTCTGCTCCCCAGGGTTCATAGCCTGGAGCAGAATTTTCAAGCTTAGCACTTGATGTTGAGGGCTGATAATTTTCAGTTGTGAGGGAAGTCATGTGAAGTGTAGGTTACTTAGCAGCATCCCTAACCTCTACCCACTAGATATCAATAGCGTCTTCCCAGTTCTGACAATCAAAAATGTCTCTAGACATTACCAGATGTCTCCTGGGAGGGGGCAAAACTGTCCCCTAGTTAAGAATCACTGGTATAGGGAGGAAGACACGCATGTAAATTAATAGCTGAGAAGATGGATCAAGTTATAGAAGCTATGTACACACCATTCAGGAAAAGGCATGACTCATATTTCAGAGGCTGTGATTAGCATTTGACACATAGTATGTGCTTAATAAGTCTGTTAGATACACAAATGCACAGAAATATCCTCATAGTTCCTGTAACAGTTTACCTTTCTGACTGTCTAATAGAAAAGATAGTTTCACATTCCAAAGATTAGCATCTACTTCACTGACATAATTCACTTTCATGGACATGTTTGCCAAGTATATTATAAGAGAAAAAAGCACACTGATTTTTCAGGATAGTGCAGATATAGATATTTCTAAGAAAATAAGACTCTTACAATAATAGTTGTTTTTTTTTTAAAGGGCAGTTTTTACTGCTTTTTTGACCTTATATACACATTCGTATGCGACAACAACTAAGAGGAGCACTGTGCATATTACTCTGTAAATGAATTCAAGAAGGATAGTGCATTTTGTTGCTTGGCACATCTTAAATGCATGCTCCTAAGCAGCTGTTTCTTTTCCCCTACAGGGTTTGGGAGGATGAATTCATTTTCAAGGAACTGTCTATTCTGGGATGCTCATGCTCTTATATAGATGCATCTGACATCTGACCATGAATAAATAGAAAGGCAAACCAGTAAGCAGAGAAGCTTGGGGAACCCAAATAAGAGGAAAACCAGTGAGCATCCACTTTTATGAAATGGAAAGGAGATGACGAGCAGAGCAGCAGCTCGAAGTCTCGGCCTCAAATGGCAGGGCAGAGAAAAGAAACAATGTCAGCACTGGACTTACGTAACAAGATGGCAAGCTGAGGATTTTTCGCTTATTTATCTTAATATAGAGGCAGGAATTGAGAAAGGTCTGACTTTGAGGCAGAACAAAAGGTCTGTGATGTAGAATGCTGAAGGTGTAAGGGCATTTAAGGATAAATAAAAAAAGAAATGACGGGGGGGTGCACGGCGTGGAATATGTCAGTGCAGACTTTCAGATATGTACTGGGTAAATCTTATTATCCTTTAACATTTTATAAATGGAATCCAAAATAGGCCAATGGGAAACATTCTTGGAAATATATACCAACTGGACAAGAATATCTACAATTGCTAAAGGAAAGTGTGACACTTGGTTCTGGTGCCAAAGTCAATAAGTCTTTGCCCAAATAATGGCAAATCTTTCCGTTTGGAACATGGTGTCTTAATTAAGCCCCAAATGTCAGTTACTGCACATAAGTAGAAATCAGCAGATATGAAGTCAAGGCCAGGCTCCATGGCTAGTTGGCTATGTGAAGGAACATTTCTGCTCCAATTTTCCTATCCAGGCAATGGGGAAAGTAATACTTTCCACCAATCTATGCTGAAGGGATATTGTGATGAGTCAGAGAATAAATCTCCGATTTTTTTTGTTGTTTAATGAAGAATATCATTGTATTTCCTATAGTAAAGGCTTGTTCTGTTTTAGTCCATAAGGTGAAAAGAATCAATATATAAAGAATTCATGTATCCAAAATAATCACAAGAAAGACCTTCAAGAGATATTTGCACATCTATGTTCACAGCATCACCACAATGGCCAAGAGGTGAAAGCAAACACATATCAGTAAACAGATGAATGTTAAACAAAATGGTGAATATTATTCAGCCTTAAATAGTGGTGTGAGTGTGTGTGTGTGTGTGTGTGTTTACACACACACATTCACACCAACATACGTATCAATATACATACCACTATAACAGAATATTATTCAGCCTTAAAAAAGGAAGAAAACCCCATTACATGGTACATGGTTGAACTCTGGGGACACTGTGCAAAGTGAAATATAGGAGTCACATATAGGCAAATATGATTGCATGATATGAGTATCTGAAGTAGTAAAATTAATAGAAAGTAAAACGGTAGTTATCAGGGGCTGGGAGAAGGGGAAAAGGAGAGTTGTTTAATGAGCATAGTGTTTTATTTTTGCAATATAAAAAATTTCTGGAGATATGTTTCACAACAATGTGAATATACTTAACACTATTGAACTCAACACTTAAAATGGGTAGGATAGTAAATTTTCTATTTTTTGCTACAATAAGATTTTTTAAAAAATGTAAATAATTCAACCAAAGGAAACAAAAGCCTCAAAATAACATCTCGTTTTGGTTTTAGTATTAGAATTTGCCTAAAGGGGTATGGTCTCTGATGAGATTTCTTTGCGTGAGTAGCCAAGTTTCTGGTTACCAGAGGTGTGTCTGGACAGTAATACACTGTTCACAGAAAGGAACCAAGTGTGCAAATGTCCCTGTTCCATCTAGTTTGTGCCTTTCAATGGCAGAGGACAACAGCAAAGGCATTAGAACCTTCCTGAAGGAATACGGATAGTTGCTACTTCTGTCGGCTGCCCTACATAGACAGGCAGTACTGATTTGTGATCATGTAACATTCTAAACAGCCACCACTGAAGATAATTGCCAGTTCTGCATCACCAAGAGCAGGAAAGGAACTGCTAAGAGAGTCAGAAAAAATAAATAAGTCAAATACTGAGATAACATGAAATTGAATGAAATAAAAGATTATAAGTAAAATAAAGCAAACACGTTTCAAGTGAGTTTTGTTTCTCAAGCCTAAGAAACCCCATTTTGGCCCAATATACAGACTACTAGAGAATTTCTGGTCCTTAAAGCACCAAGTGCTTCATGTGGTATTTGCTTTTTGCTAATTTCTTAGGAAAAAGTGCCTCATGATTTGCGGCAGTGACATTATCTTTCCTATTAAAAAAAAAACCCATGAATCAGATTGGAATAATATGAACTTAGTAGAACAGAGCCTTCAGATCTAGATTCTCAGCCAATCACTACTTTACTGGGTTATCCTGGGCAAACCTGTACTTTATCTGTTTTTTTTTTTTTTTTTTTTTTTTTTTTTTTTTTTTTTTTTTTTTTTGGCAAAGGTAGACACTTTTAAGATCTGCCTCGAGAGACAGCAATGGTGGAACAGAAAGGGCACAGGATATGCTGATACAACATGCCACAGAAAGCAACCAGAGACTTCTTGGTTTGAGGGAGCCTGGGCCTTTTCTGCTAGGCAGTAAATGACAGGAAGAAACTTAGAAGGTTTTCTCTTAAGTGATGTCTAAGGCTCTGAGCTACCAAGACTTCTGGGAATCACCACAAATATCCTAGTGTTATACTTTACTCAGTGAGCAGAAGGAATTTCTCTGTTGGAAAAAAAAAATCAAAACAAAATAAAAACAAACCTCTAAAGGCATATTGGGCTCACAATTATTTCCGATAGGGGCTCAGTCCTGTGGGAGAAAGGGAGTCAGGTAGACGCCACGGAGATCAGATACCTGGCTGATTAGCTCCACTGGGGATGCTGCAAAGGGCAAAACTTTGTCCTCTCTCTGAAGAAGCATCTTCTCTGCAGGGCTTTAAAAATAGGACTTGCTCTCAGCATTTAGAGAAGGCAGAGTATAAATCTTCCTGGGGAAGAATGGAAGAAATGAAAACCTTCCAAAATATTTGGGGCACTGGGTCCTGTGGACAGTTGGGCTCCATAGTTAACCGAGATGTTGAAATTGCATTCATGCAATCTAAAATGCTTAGACATGGTGAAATATCTAGTTGAATCAATTATTTTGCAGTGAAAACAAAAGTCTCACCACTGAAATCCAACCTGTTTTTGTTACTGTTGATGTTTCATTATTTTTACTGCATTTAGCTTTTGAGGGGACACACACCAAGGTGACAGTGATTTAGGTAAATCTTTTTTCTTCCTTGCTTATCTTCTTAGTCAAGAGGTATTTCTAGTGTTTCAGGCAAGAGCTACATTTTCAACAAAGGAATAAAGTTCATAGATATTTACTGCAGCTCCCTGTTGCTGCTATCTCTACAGTACTCATCATAGGTTCTTCTTCAGGGAAAGAATGCTTTAGGCTTTGGAAGGTACACAGATAAAAAGAATCTGTGTTTTTGGCTGGAGCTACCTGATTCCATTATCTCACTAAAATTGGTTACTGAAATACTCTCTAATGTCTCAGCAGGTCATATTGTGTAAATGAATGATTGTCTGAATATTTTGCTTATTTAACCTTTTGTAAAAATTTTTTTTTAAGAAGTGTCACTCTCTTGCCCAGGCTGGAGTGCTGTGGTATGATCTCGCCTCACCAAAACCTCCGCCTCCCAGGTTCAAGCAATTCTCCTGCGTCAGCCTCCCGAGTAGCTGGGACTACAAGCACGCACCACCATGCTTGGCTAATTTTTGTATTTTTAGTAGAGACAGGGTTTAGGCAGGCTGGTCTAAAACACTCCTGACGCTGCAATCCACCCACCTTGGCCTTCCAAAGTGTTGGGATTACAGGCGTGAGCCACTGTGCCCGGCCTAACTATTTTTTATTGAGATATGATTTACATATAATAAAATCTAACATTTTAAACTGTACAATTCAGTGGTTTTTAGTATACTCATAAGGTTGTGCAACCATCACCATTCCCTAATTCCAGAACGTTGTACTGAGCCCCAACAGAAACCCTGTACCAATCACCATTTACTCCTACTTTCCCTTACCCTCAGCCCCTGGCAATCACTAGCCTACCTTTTATCTCTATGGATTTTCCTATTCTGGCTATTTCACATAAATGGAATCATACAATATGTTGCCTTTTGTGTTTGGCTTCTTTGTCTTAGCAGAACGGTTTCAAGTTTATTCATGTCATACATGTAACAGTACTAACATCTTTCAAGTAATTACTGCATCCAAGGCAGGGAAGTGTTGAAGCTTTTCTTTTCTTCCAGATGTATGGAATTGGTACAGACTCAGCCTAGTCTTATGACCAGCCCTGGATGCCATGGTCACAGGCAGCATATTTGTGGTGTAGCCCTAAGGGTTACGGAAACCCCTAATCGTTGAGTTAACCTAGTGAGACATGGAAAACTGCATGGAACACAAGCAAAAAACAGGACATAACTGAGAAATGAATAAAGAAAGTACAAGACAAAGAAGGTGTTCAGGGACACAGTTAAGATCTGAGTCCTGGGTCAGGACAGGATCAATTAAGAGAGAAAGAACAGTGTATGAGACAGGGTCAGTGGCCAGGGACGGATACCAGGCAGCGAAGGATCTGTAGTATTCGGGTCTGTAGCAGCTGCCCTGACTCAGGCCATGGGACTTCAGAGTTCTCTGTCACAGAACCATAGAATATTTGCACTGGAGAAAAATTAGAGCTATTTTCCTTAGCACCGCCATTTTGAAGATGAACAATCTGAGCTCCAGAAGGGCTAAGAGACCTCCCCTCAAGCTAACAAACTTTTGTGATCACTTTCTTCATCTTTTTCCTCTCAGTGGAATATATTTTCAACTATAGTTTACTGCCATGGGACCATGGCATGGGATTCCAACAGATGGATCTGGTCATATGTTAGTGCCAAAATGAGGCTTAGCAGCCATTTACTCACATGCCCTTATGCTATGTAACAATCAGAGAAGGTCTTAGATATTTTTACATTAGCTTAAAAGAAGAGAATGATGTTCTTTGACCTGATTTTTATTGGTTTGATTGTCTAAACACTTGGAGTTCCTTTATATTTTAAATACATTTAACTGATTAGTATCAATCTATAGATTTAGATATGGAAAGAAATGAATGGGGTCCACCACACGTCAGTCAATGGTAATTGGAACAGTGATGCCCAAAATATGCACATAAATGTCAGGTAGTGACCACTAAAAAACAGTTGGTGTTCAACAGACTGTAAAATTGACAGGTCAAAAGGCACGACTCCAAAACCCTTCATCATTTAACATTCAGAGCTGTAATGTTTAAGTCAGTTTTTTCCTCGCATCATTGTATAGAAAAAAAATTTTCCTTAAAAAGAAAATTAAAAATAAATAAATTTTAAATATAGCCTTGAGATTAGTTAAAAAAATTTTTGATGTATTCATATAATGAGAAAATTGAAGGCATTAAAATGGTGGTATAATGTGTATTTATTGAAATAAGAGTTTAGTAACGTTGAGCAAAATAAGGGCTATAGAAGAGCATTTAAAATTTGATGTCTTTATATATTTTACAAATATATATATTTATATTTGGGTGTATATATAGAGAATATATCTGGAAGGACATCTATAAAGTACTGACAATTGTATCCCCAAGTAGTGGAATTACATAAGGATTTAGTTTCTGGAATTTTTTGTCATTTTGTTATCTTATCTTTATCTTCTATTTTTTGTGTGCAATGAACATGGATTACTTGCATTATTAAAATATTAAAAATAGACTTTGTTTTGAATATTGTGTTTGCAAGGCTGGTTCATTATCAGTCTCTGCAACAAATACCATTTTAGAATCTGTAACAAAAATAAAACCAAGTTGTCCTTATCATCTTCAGAAACACAAGAAAATACTGAATTCCTCTACATCAAATATAAATCTGTACAAAGAGGCACTTGTGAAAAGAAACAAATGTTTGGGGACTTGACCTACTCCCTTTCCCTCCTCTCCTGCATCTCAGAGAGGTACAGCTCGTTCTCATTCCTTTTGATTTCTTAAATCACCATCTTCTCTCTAGGCTAAACACAAAATTCATGGTTAGGATTTACCCCTAAGTTTCAGGCTGACTACATTATATTTGAAACAAGCAACTCGTCTCTGTCTTGTTGAAAACTTTACAGGAATATCACCTCAATAAGCA